AGTGGAGTAGAATAATTAAATTTTAAGAGTTCTTTTGGTAATGAAAACTGATGCCGAAGTCAGATAACAGATTTGAAACCGATGTGAATACTGATGGCTGAAAAAAACAAAGGGCAATAACTGAAAAAATAATGCAGGGTAGGCTATCATTCTTGTGTAATGACATCTATCCACCTATGAAGTTTCAAGTTGATACCTCTAACACTTTTAAAGATAAGCTCCGGACAAAAAGTATGAAAAATAACAAAGGGCAATAACTCAAAAATTATAAAGAGTAGAGTTATCATTCTTGCGCACAGCATTCCTCATTAAGATAAATCCACCTATGAAGTTTCCATGTTGACATCTCAGAGACTTTATGCTTCAGTCGGGTGAAAAATTAAGTATGAAAAATAACAAAGGACAATAACTCAAAAATTATGAAGGGTAGAGTTATCATTCTTGTGCACTGCACACCTCCTGAGGGAGATCTATCCACCTATGAAGTTTCATGTTGATATCTCAAAGGCTTTTTAGTTATGCTCTGGACAAAAATTAAACAAAGGGTACTAACTGAAAAATATGCAGGGTAGCTTATCATTCATGTTTGCTGCACTCCTCCTCAATGAGATATATCCACCAGGATTCCTCTTACACTTTTTGAGATAAGCCCCGGCCAAAAAGTATGAACAATAACAAAGGCCAATAACACAAAAATTATACAGGGAAGAGTTATCATTCTTGGACATAGCATTCCTCCTCAATAAGATCTATCCACCTATGAAGTTTCATGTTGACATCTCAAAGACTTTTTGAGTTATGCTCCACTCCGGTGAACTCAGGTGAAAAATTAAGTATTAAAAAAGGGCAATAACTCAAATATTATGAAAGGTAGAGTTATCATTCTTGTGCATTTGACACCTCCTGAGTAAGATCTATCCACCTATGAAGTTTCAAGTTGATACCTCAAATACTTTTTTAGATATGCTCCGGACAAAAATGTTGGACGGACGGAAGGCCGGAGACTATTTCTATATCCCCCGCCGCCTTTTGGCAGGGGAGATAAAAAAAATCTGTCAACTTTGTGATTTATTCTTTGGGGATTTTCTTTTCAACCACCAGTGACTTAAGTAAGGCTCAAACTCAATATCCAAATGTTGGGGACAGTAACATTAACAACAATGCTGCTGATCTCTGCTGCACCTAAGTAATGAAAGCAATAATAAGCCTAAGTTTTCAATGCTTCAATGTTTTTATTCTTTTACAACAGCAAACATTTTTTACAGAAAAAAATATTACATGAATTCATAGTTATGCTTCTACAAAATAATTCAATGTTTAATGATATATACATTGATGTTATAAGTGTTCAAAGAACTGAACAACTTTTTCTAATTCATGCTACCTGTTCAATGATAGTCCTAGACCCTTTGAATGCCAGTCGCCATTATGTCTTGTACATTACCACCGACAAAAAACCAGTAAAGTTTACACATGTGCAGTTTACTAGACTCTAAACAGCTGACTGCTTAATTTTAATATTTCACAAATAAAACCCTCTGAAATAACAATGAACAGTTCCATTAGTTAAATCAGGGCAAGTCCATTATATTAATATAGTATGGTAAGGGTTAAACTATTAACAAATCCTGTTGTGCAGCATGTTTCAATTCAATAAAAAAAATATAATTTGTTTGGATTATTTTCTAGGGAAAGGTACACTGTACGAGTACGGTGCTATATCTTACCTCCCTTGCCAGAGTTCTATTCTCTTCCTTGGTACATGTATATGCATGTATATGACATACAAATCTCAACTTAAATTTCTGAAAATGACCTGTTCCAACTTGACCATATACCGTAATCTTTTTCAACTGATAAATTTTGGAATCCCCTTCATGACTTTATATGAAATTAAATCAAAGTCTAATCATAGAAATATCTTGACAAGAACCTTTTTATTTCATAGATTTTCCTCCTTATTTGTTGCCATGTCAACCAAACTTATGCCATGGTTTTACTACTTGGACAAATTTTTTCACAGAGAACCTAAATGATCTTTCCTCTTAAGTGAATTTTTTTGTTTGAGAAATTTTGAGTTAAGAAATAGCCAAACAGTTTGGATTGAAGTACATCTGATTATAGCTATGACAACTACTTATGAGAAGTAACCGAGTTACTATGAGCAAAAAATAATTTGTTACATCAAAGTTGGTATATTATCACTGATTGAACTGTAAAGACCTAAGAAAAAAATACTAGTAGCCAAAATATGTATATATAACAAATCTATATCAAATGAAAAACAGACATGTAGTATGAATTTGACATATTGTAAATGATTAAATTTTATATTTCACTATTAGATTAAACAACACTTAATGTAAATAAAATGTAGAAAATATTAAGTAAAATGTGACCTTTCTAAATCTTAGCTCATGAAAACAAGCCATGTCACATTTGTCACGGTGTGGCATGAAGACAACCTATGTCTGATATTTTTACCTCACTTTATGACATGAAAAATTGTACATGTTTATCTCTGCCACAGGGTAGCTTAAAGACCATTTATGTCTATATTGGTCAGTGTGACACAAAATGTGGTGACAAGAAAACTATCTATGTCAGTCTGTTTTTTGTTAAAATCTGACATACACGTCAAGACAATCTCTATCAACCTATGAAAACATACAAAAATAGCACCTTGTTATACTAGTAACTGTTACAACAATGAAAAGCACACAAAAACACATTTTAACTGAATAATCTGCTTCTATAAATACAAAATTCTCCAAAAATTTCAATATCAAAATTATCATACATTCATTATACAAACTGTGCAAGTCTAAATCAAATGTTCTTTATAAAATAATGAAGCAATGAAAAAAAAACAACCATAAAAATAACAACAACTATTGTAGAAATAAACAAGAGCCATACATAAGACAGCGTGTTTGACTATTCTGTTTTAGACAGTAAGAAAAAGGGGTATTAGTCTGGAAAGAGGTAAATCGTGAATTATGTGACCCATGCATTTCATGTTAGATAAACATGTAATATTGAAGTTTCAAAAACCATGCCATTCGTCAGTTTTTGAAATGTTTTATTTTATGGGGCGGGGGGCCGATTTCTCATCGCACCAACATAGTATAGGTCATATTATGGCAACTTTCTAGTTTTACAGAAGGAGGAAGACCATGAATAGGCATCTGAGTAGAACCACCAACGTTCCGTAAGCTAGCAGGATAGTTTCCTAACGTGAAAGAACTCAAAGTCCCGGTTGGGATTCAAACCAAAGGCTGTGAGGGGCAAGTAAGTTTGAAGTCAACTACCTTAACAACTCGGCCACATAGACCCCTAGTTTTAGAAATAACAACTTGCAATAGCTTTTCCTATTTTTCAAAAGTCAAGCTTATAATGAGTTGAAACTCATTTACAGTTTCAATATTATAAGTTTAGACATTGTATTATGAACAAAAATATATTCATACTTTTCAGTTTGTTGGTCTGATATGTGAACAAACATCTTGACATTTTAACATGAAATTGTATATATCGGTGTTTTACAAACCCTTAATACACAACATAAAACTTTTATTATCAGAACCTTTCTATATGATCCCAAAATAAAATTCAGACCTTTTTCTGCAACACTAAATTACTTATGTATTTGTTAAATAACTTGCCAATGCCATCAGTCAAACCATCTCATCTGATTTGTACCAGACACTAGATTTGATCTAAAAATCCCTTTATAATGAAGGATAATTCAGAATTCAAAACCAGGCTAGTACATTTATGAATTCAGCCTGATAGATTGTTACTGATAAAACATAAAGTGAAAAGAAGGCAATATGAATTCATATTAAATTACAATAGCTGTTATATTTTTTCCATAAAAATGTAAACTAATGTCAAACTAAATAATACATTAATTTATGTTCATTATATTAAATAAATTTGTTTAGATATATATTCAGAAAAGCTGATTGTTACTGCCTTTCTGTCTATTTAGTTGTTTAAAGAAAATATAAGTCTTCTGTCAGGTTTCAAAATCCTCACATCCAAAGTAGAAAATACCATTTCTTGCCCATTTTCAGAAAATATTATTCTTAGCCATTTTTTAAGAACAAATTACATGTTACATAATATACCATCACATAAATCACTGCATTATTATTCATTAATATTATACATTTAAATATTTTGTATAATTTTTTTTTTTTTACATGTATGTAGAAGTTCAAAAACTAGATCTTCTATATGGAAGCAAGAAACCAGTTCTGTTAGTAGTAATTTTTTTAAACAAAGACAAAAAAATAGTCCTCTAAATATGACATAAAAATGAAAATAGTTCATAAAATGTGACCACAGGTTAACAAGTAAAATGTTATAGCACATGAGTCGGACATAAAAGGAAGAGAACTTCTTGCTAGATGGGACATAATATAAACTGGACAAGCAACTTCATACTTTGTTGCAGTCAAAATGACAGCTGATCTATCAACAAGTAAAGTGTTTAAATCATGTATATAAACAGGAGTGGTCAGTGAACACATGTGTTGCCTGATGATAACCAACTATGCAATTCTATTGTGGGGTGATTAACCAATTTGCTCCCTATATGTCATGATTACTTTGTAGCATGTTGCAACTTCTGTGTAGCAGGAGACACAAAAATCATTAACAGGCCAAAACACATTTTTTATTCAAGGGCCAAAAAACATTCAACTGGAAAACCTATTAATTGAAGTGATTGAGGTTTCACTCAAATTGCATTAGTTGTACAAGAGAAGTAGTCAAAGATATACACAACTAAACTTGGTACTAATCATTCCTGTAAAATTTGGATGAAATTGCACCAGTAGTTTTGAGGAGTAGTCCGGACAAGTTATATACCAGGATGACTGAGAAGTATGCATTATAGTCCCGATAACTTTGTAGCAGGCATCACAAAAATTACATTGACATACATGACATTTCTTAATATTAAGACCATTAAAAAAATTCTATGCCAGATGCTCATTTACACTGTTTACTATGGGAAAAAATACCTTTCACAAAAATCAACATGACAGAATGATGGTGCATGACCAATTATAATGAAAAGATAATGAAGTTATAATATCTACTTGCTTGTCCCATCATATTATGTCCCAAATGGTTGTAAAACATACATTTGAGCCACGTCATGACAAAACCAACATAGTGCGTTTGTGACCAGCATGGATCCAGATCAGCCTGCACATCCGCGCAGTCTGATCAGGATCCATTCTGTTCGCTATCAATTTCTCTACTTGTTTTAGGGTTTGTAAGCGAACAGCATGGATCCTGATCAGACTACGCGGATTCGCAGGCTGGTCTGAATCCATGCTGGTCGCAAACGCACTATGTTGGTTTTGTCATGGCGCGGCTCATTTTAACTTCTTATACTCTAATCTACTCCCTAATAAGCAGCAATAAAAAAATAACAAAAAGAACATTTCAAAAACATGAAACAAAACCTGAACACAAAAACTATTCTAAATGCAAAAAAAAATACTATTAAGTTGTAATAAATATAATAAATTAATGATAGCACTATTAAGGTATAAATGATATTTATAACTTTGTCTCACAGATATTTTAGAAATAAAACTGAAAGCACAAAAAAATATAAATGAAATATAACTAGAACTACTTTTCTTTATAAGACAAAAAACAGCTTTTCCCAATCTGACTATTTCAGCTCCTTATATTGATCTTAAATCACCATAGGAAGTCAACTTTTCCTGACCTTTGAATTAACCAATCAGAGCTTAGCTTTCAGATTCTTGCAGTTGAATTTAACCACAGGGAAAACCAAAATCCAGTAAGTGATTTTTACAATATAAATATATTTAAGGTGAACAAAATGCAAGTTGGTTGATTAACTAGTTTCAGAAAGAAATTTCTCTTAAAAATGGCACCATTATTTTGAGATAAATGCAGGGGAAGTTATTTGCTTTAAACTGTTTAATTTAACAAAGGCAAAAAATTCTAAAACTAATAAATTTGCTTATGCCACTCTGCAATTTTATTGGCTGACTAAAAATAGATTTCTTGGAAAATCAAAGTGAAGGTGATATCTAAATAAGATCTGAATGTAAGTCAGATTGGGCTAATCTATTAAGAAACATTAAATATTTACAAGCTTTACAGCTTACAACACTATAATATCATATTATGTTTATGATAATAACTCATTTGGGATGTACTGTTTAATATATTAAATTAAGACAAGCCTCAGATAAAAATACTGAGGCATCTATAAAAAGACCGTCCTTACTGAAAATAGCATGTTTTTCTTTAAAGTCAAACGTAAATGGGCACACTATGCTATGTAAGACAGTCATGGATGAAAACACTGTGAAATCTATAATGTTATCATTATCTATTATGATTTAATCATAAGCAATTAAAAAAACTGTTTTTTCATTTTCTAATTCATCAGGGCTGAAATTCATAGAAGGTCCAAAGTCCTAGCTATGACATAATGGTTCCTAAAAGCCAAGAAATAAAATGATATGCATCTTATCCTGTAATATGTAAAAGATTTTCATCTGCAATGCAAAGTTAGGACTGTAGCAAACATTTTCTTTGTGTGAAAACAAAATTTTTTCACAATTTTTGTCTTACAACTGATTTCTGACTTTCTATAAAATGCAACCAGTGGTCTGTGAAACTATTATTATTTTTTTGGACTGGCAATATAAATAAATGACTATCAAATACACTGACTATATGATGAAACATCCCTAAAATATTCACCATTCTAAACCAATCAATATACTCGATCTAACACTGGAACTGTTTGGACAGGTGTTACTATATCTATGGTTATCGTTCTAAACCAGTCTAAATACTCGGTCTCAGACTGGAACCGTTTGGACAGGTGTTACTATATCTTGTATAATTATTTCTGTATGAAATGATACTGATACCTGTCATAAGATTTTCAGTATTTTCTCCAAATATCCAAACTGATGCCAACACCGATCCACTTAATTTCTTAATTATTCGCATTCCAAAGTAACAATTAATTTGACATTTTTCTAGATCTAATAGTATAAATGTGCAATCCATTAAATGAGGTAATTAAATTGGATATCTTTTTCTATATTTTGACCATGAGGCACTTGCAATTTCAATCTCACCTTCAAGGTCATGAAAAAACTACAAAAGCACTTTTTAAAGTATGATAATAATCAGCCTATTCCAACACATTTTTCAATTCACAAAATATGTTATTCAACTTTTTCTCAGAAACATAACTTTTTTTTCCTGAATGTCACCTCAATGACCTAACTAAACACAGTATTGCTAGCTGTAAACAATGGCGTAATTAACTGAATGTGACGATTGTGACAATTTACGAGGTAATATTAAGTTATGAATCGAAAGGCATCTTTGGAATGGCATCATCTCTTTGTTTCAGTTTCTCTTGTAATTGTTTCTCCGTCACTTTGCCTTCGGATGCAAACTCGACGATAATCTTTCTGCCTGCCAATGTTGTATTGTTAAGTCTTAGCCCAATCTGAAACATTGCAAATATACATGTACAAATATATCCAAATTTTTATATATATTAAATTACATTTTTTGTAGATAAAGCCACTGTGACAAATTTTTTTTACCATTGACATAGATGCAGGGAGACTCTAGATGCCAAATCCCTTATAAATTACTCTTGATAATAATGCATGTTTGTAATGTCGCTTTTTCGTTGGATAATCAAGACATTTTATACAGTTTTATTACATACATGTAGGCTCACTAAATATTGAGAGAGGCTCACATACTTTGATATTTATTCAACTTGTTCAATAAATTTAGTACTATGTACATGTAAATCTACACTCATTCAATATCCTCTATTTAATCCCTTTCCATATCAGTAGGTTAAAGATTAAAATATCTATTAACTCCCTGAACAATAACGGTAATAATTGCTTGCCTATACATATAGCATCAAGTCAGGCTAACCAAAACTTTAACACAGTCTGGCAAGACTTTATGTCTTTTATTCATCTCAAAGCTTAATTTTGAATTCTCTGAAATTATAAAACCCATAACATAATCAGTGAAAAGTCAAGGAAAGTCCACAAATTTAGCTGGATATTGTGCTTTTTGTAATTTTAATTTTTAAGTATAAAATCTCACCCTGTGACCAATTGTGCTGCTAAATTCAACATAACCAAACCCCTTGCCTGTCTCTGTGCCTCTGTACTTTGGTAACCTAACTGACTTAACACCAGCACCTGTCATTAAAATAATATGATAGTACTTATCTAACAAGGCCGAAGAGAACTTCACTTTTTACATTTTTGGTTAGTGAACTGTTAATTTAAAGGGACTCCACTGAGATTTTTTGACATGAAAGTGGAAACTGTTTCCAAAAATTCATGTACCATTGTACATGTAGATCTGAACCAATAACTTATCTGCAAATTTTCAGATCACTTATCCCGTTTTTCAAGAATAATTATTTTTATTGTGCAAAATGACTCAAAAAATCAGACTAAGAATAGCACTTACTATTGATATTAAATTTAAAGTTTAAGTTAATTTCTTCATTATCATTTGCAGATTCTTTTTCTTTATCATTTGCAGATTCTTTTTCTTCAGTGTTTCTCTTGATATTTGTAAGATTTTGAAATTGTATGCTTTTAGGCTATTTGACCTCAGCGGGGTTCCTTTAAACACACTCTGCTAAAGTGAAATTCTACTGGTAAATTAAAAGCCTAGGTGTCCCTTGCAAAGTTATTTCCTGCACCAGCAGAAACATATGTAGAACTGTAACACAAAAGTCAATTTTCAATAAAGAATTCTGATAAATTGTGGAAAACAAAATAAAAAACAGACCTTAAGAATCATTCATGTGAAAATGATCACAAAATAAGAAGGTTAAAAGGTTCCAGGAAGAACTTTATGACAGTGCTGTAAACCACTTATAGGCTATATCATGAATGTTGCTGCAAAGTCAGTATGGAAGGCTCCTAAAGTTTCCCTTCACAACCATTATCATTCACAGAAAAAATGGGCATGTTCAACAATGCCTTTTTTTAATTTGTTTGTACTTTGATGATTCATTGTTTTAAAATTTTAAGAGAGATTAGTATAGCAAAATGTCATCAATTTGGTTCTTTTTGATTAAACCAAAGAATATCATGGGTTCAAGTTCAAAACCATTGGTATTACCAAACAAGTTTTCATAACACTATATTATACCTATAACTTTTACTTCTAGAAATATGTATGCATATTAAGGTTCTTTTATTTCTCAACACTGATAAAATAACAAACCTGCTCTTTTGAAGTGAGCCATCAACTGTTCTTTGGTAATATCCTCTGGCAAATTGCCAACAAACAACACTAACTTTTTGGGTACATGAATACTGGAACTATTTTCTAGTTTTTCAACTGCGTCAACATAAAGTTGTTTAGATTTTTTCGAAGATTTGTCACCATTTCTATCAGCTTGATTATTTGGTCCTTCGTCAATGTTACCGTATCTGGACTTTTTAGGCGTGTGGTCTGAGCTGGCAACATCTTTCGAGTCTAAAGTTTTGGCAAGTGTTTGTGAGGAAGTTTTCCCTGATTTTTTGTCTGTTTGTTTTGATTTTTGTGTTGTACTCAAAGACTTATCAGAACCTTGATGTTTTGGTGCTGGGGAGCTCTGTTTGGCTGTACGAGCTGAAAACAAACACAAATTTGAATGAAAAAAAAAACTCTGATTTTCAAAATGTTGTAAGAAAGCAAATTTTAGTTACTACTGAAGGTATTCATTTGAAACATGAAACATTATTTGTAACTCTAGGAACATGTACTTTTTTAGTGAGTGACAGACCAGCTTTACAGCAGGGATAATCAAAGAAAGCAAAGACATCAAAGGACTCAAAAAAAATCAACAAACAAAAAATAAACCAGGCTTGTCAGATCAATAGAAAGTTATCAAAGTTATCTTTTTAGTTCTTAAGTTCACAAATATTGTTTAGCAAAAACAATACTCTACCACTGGAAAGAACTTTCCTGAGAAACTATAAAACTTGTCTTTATAGCAGTTATTTATCTATGAAACAAGAAGATTACAGTGGGTAATATCTATAACCTAAGCTGCAAAGTCTTATTAACTAACATATTTAAATGTGTACACAGTATCACAGACCTCTTGTTACTCTAGACAGACTTTTCTTCTCTTCTAGTCTTTTCTGCCTCTTCTCCATTCCAGGAGTAACCTTAGCCATTGTCACTACTCTGAAATATAATTTATAAAATACATGTAAGTGCAGGTGAATTTATACTAATAGTAATCTCTTTTTTGGCTGAACAGCCAGTTTTTTACATATTCCACGAATAGCAATACACATTACACTCCTGTTTTGAGTCACTGCCATCTCCCGCCATTAGCCATGTAAAATGCACCCGGAATCTTAAATTCACCCATGTTAAATCGTCAATGGTAAGAGAGGGGAAACAGACAAGCAATCTGGTGCTAATTTTCTAGGATGACATGTGCCAGATATTAATTTAACAAACATGTTTTGTCTTTCTGTTTCACATTCACACAAAGCTTCCAAAACATTATGGTTATGACATAATGAAGTAAAAATGATGATGATGATGATGGTTCAGCTTTAATGTGCTACAGTTATAATTAAAATAGATTTGATGCGCGCACCCCACATACATACAATGTAAGCATAGCAAAGTATAGTATAGCTTCATATACATGTAAATGACATAGTGACTTTAAACTGTATTCACCAAAACATATTAACAAGAGTAACATATTGTAATACAACTAATGTAACGCCAAGGGCTAGGGCCTTCATCTGCAAGAGTTTGTTGTTTTTTAATCATCTGATCACATCTACCTAATCTGTTGCACCAACATTGAAATCATGAAATAAAATGTCCCCTAGTTTATGAAAACCTTACTGTTTGTAAATCAATCAAGTCATGTAAAAGTAAATAAGATTTTTGCACAAAAGGTACAGTAGAGGGGTGAATTTTCTTCAGTATACTGTTTAACCCTTTACTTCATATAGATGTGTTTTGAGGGCTTTTCATCCCCCACCCCCACTTTTTGAGGCCTCAAACAGTGAAAAATTACCCTATTTAGGTCCCAAACAGTTTTTCGTTTGGGAAATGTTGCCTACCTTTCAACTTATACGCCATCTGATTGTTTGTTAATGATGGAATTGACAACAAAAGTTTGACCTCAAATTTTTTTCTTTCTTTCTAGAAATGCAACTTTAAATCATTAACGCAGTTTAAAATTCTCTTTTACTTAACAACTTACATTTCCCAATAATTCAAATAACAATTTTGCCAGTGTTTTGCAAAACTCAACATAGTTCAAAAATTTCAGCATCATAATTTTACCTTCTTACTAATGTGTAAAGTGATTATTGAATGCAATAGACAGTTTCAGTAAATGTAAATAAAATTTTGAGCAGCGTCACGACAAAACCAACATAATGGGTTTGCGACCAGCATGAATCAAGACCACGCAGACTGATCAGGATCCATGCTGTTTGCTTACAGACCCTATAACAAGTAAAGAAACTGATAGCTAACAGCATGGATCCTGATCAGACTGTGCAGATGCGCAGGCTGTTCTGGATCCATGCTGGTCGCAAACCCATTATGTTGGTTTTGTCATGACGCGGCTCAAATGTTTTTATGTGCACTTAATTATAGATAGCGCTACTATTAGAATAAACTTATGTTTTTGAGAAAGATACTTCTAATAAATCAATCATCGAAGTAGAAAATTGCATAAAATACTTTTTTTGTAACTTTAATTATAAGATGAAAATATTTTGGATGAAAACTTTGTTATTTAGATGTTTGACTAACTTTGAACACCAGTCACATGTAAAAGTGAGATTCTGCCCCAGAACGAAAATATCTCAGCAGGGATTTTTTTCCCTATATAAGTGGTACCGAATAACAGACCCATTCACAATCACAAACGGACCTTCACAATTTTCAGACTGGGTCCGACGGACCCGTTCACAATTCTGATGAAATTTCACAATTCCCATTAATTAAGCCTTTAATAACGTATTATTTCCTCTCTTCGCATAATGATGCTAAAATATTGCCTGTTGTGCTTTGTTTATCTTAAAATGCGTTTAGCCGACCATGCTTTCCGGTGCAATCACCCTTTAAATTTTCGTACTGTTTAAATACGAAACTTCTAGGGACAAATCAATACCGAAACAAGCGTCTGGTAATTTCTGTTAACATCATTTAAAATGTCTCGGAACAGTAAATACTACATTAAAGAAATTTTATGTTCTTACTGCTTAAAAAGATATTCACAACCTTAAGTAAAAAATTCACAATTTGTTAAGAAACAATGCTTTTCTTTCACAATTTTATTATGGTTACCGACCCACAATTCAGAGAAAAAAATCGCTGCTCAGAATCAAGCTTTGGCACATCAATATATTTTGACAATATACAAAGTAGACGTCTTTCAATGTTCTTTTTGTTTTTAAGCTTTTCCTTTTATCAAACCTGTCAAGCAATCTGCCAGATCATGAAATACACAGATAAACACTTTACAAACTAGAAGATGACAGTCTATTCTTATCAATAGTTTTTCCAGTAAAGATACCTGGTTGCATATCTAACTGTATAAATCGTATATTAAATTGTCTACATATCGTAGGTTTAACAGTTAATTAAAATACGTTGGTGTTAAAGCATTACCCGAAAGCATTAAGTCTTTGCCACCAGTATAGAGCCAGGCCAGTCTGCACATCCGTGCAGTCTGACCAGGCTCTTTACTGTTAGCTGACAAATTTTAAATATTCACATTGATATCCCTAAAATTGATAATGGACAGTCCCAAAAATAGAAGTGGGACAAGTCCATTTAAGATATTCAGCATGTTCTGTTCAGGGTTAAATTTAAAACATGTGTTGAAGTAAAGACTGTGATGAAGCTAAGATCCTAATTCTTAATTGGTGAAATAATTTTAAAATATGACATTAAATCACAACAAACTAGTCTTTTAAAACGGTTGAATTTTTATTGTTTTAGCATAAGAGATATTGATTTTACTCAAAGACAAGGGAAGCAACTCATATTTTTTCACTTGATATACCTCAGTTATTTACATAGTTCATATAGAAAGTGTTTATGGTTATAATCATATTGTGCATGCATGTATTGTGTTAAACTGTATGAAATAACTAAAATATAAAAACTTCTTTGCTCATATCTATAAAACAGGGCTCACGCTGTCGGTCGCAATTTGCGATTATTTTATAAGATTGGCAATTATTTTTGCATTTTGGCTAGATATTCGCCAGTGGAAAACAATGACAAAATATTTAAAAATATTTAAAAAGTATTTACTTCCAAACAACTATTTGCACAACAACCAAAATTGTTAATATTTCTTCAGAAAACAGAAAAAAACCCAATTGTCACATTTTCGCGACACCAATAATTTTGATATTTATTATTTATTTTTAAGGTAAAAATAAGCTATGTTCTGTTTAAAAATCTTTACTATTATGGCAGAAAATTTGTATCACATTGGTGATGATGACAATTTATAGTAAGTTATTCAGTAAAAAGGCTGCATTCTGTGAATGAGTTTGCAAGTGATATTTCCATCTATAGGCTAATATGACCTAGATCTACTCCAGTTCTGTGTGAAATGTGGAAATAGACAGTGGTTATGGCTGACAACATTTGATTAGAACAAACAAAAGAAATTGTCTGATAACAGCATTATGTAAAGTTATAATGAATCTTTAATATTATTGTTATACAGTAATTATACTATATAACATTTTTATTCTGTTCTATATGTGAGGTTGATGTAGGCACCCTATAAAAAATGTTGAGCGTTCTTTGCGTAAGTAATTCTTTGCGGTAATTTGGCGCAGTCTCCGCCATGTTTTAAGTAGAAAGAATAAAGGCAATGAATAAAGAACATATTCTTTTCTTTTTAGGTAAGTATTAACAAGTAAGAGAAAGAAAAAGACTTTCTTCGATAGGTTTATTCATTGTATTTTTTGTTTATCGTAACTGTTATCAATGACATTGTATTGTTTAGCTTGCAAACATGTTTAAAGTTGAGAGTCATATGTTTTCGCGGATAAACGTTTTACATACGTATTTTGATATTCATCTATATATCATCATATTTTTACTGTTTATTGTTAATACGCATTTTATATGATAACTATGAACTTTTCGTAAGTAAAATACAGTTTAATAATTGTTTAGACAATTATTTAGAATAGCATGTTTTATGCCATATTTGGAAAGAGCTTGGTAAATGAACCCAAAGGCAATTAAACGACATAAAGTCGAGCATGTAACATATTGTTTGAACATTACTAAATAAACGACATAAAGTTGAACATATAAAATATTGTTTTGAACATTGTTTATATGCTATTTGTCTAACTGAACATATGAAAATTCATTATTATCTTTCATCTTTTGTTAAGTATATACAGTTATAAGTGCCAAATTAATTGATTTTCAGTATTATCATTTGTGCCAATGATTTAGATTGTTATTGTTTTATGCATAATAGTAAATTCTCAAGTTAAGTATCTATAGTAGCAGTTTAGTAATCATCAGTTTAATATGTTTTTATTTCAATCAGATATATAAATAATTAAGGTTGGGTTGTTAATCAGGTTATTATTCCAAACATTTTACATTGCAGTATTATAATGATAATGATTTATATTTTAATACTTTTTGCATGTACCCCTAGACATGAGTAAAGTTGAAACGTTGTTATATTTTTAGTTGAACAATTAGTTAAATGTTTTTATGCCACATGTTGTTATGCAACGGCAGTCTCCGCCATGTTTTAATTAGAAAGAATAAAGGCGATGAATTAAGAACATATTCTTTTCTTTTTAGACTCCGTATCATATCTTCAATTTGACCCGTCCAACATGTAATAACAATTAAAGTTGAGGTTCTATGTAATTAAAGAAAAGATAGTTATCAATATACACAAATGTACACAAATGTATCAGTTTATTTGAGAATCCTTAAAAAACTGAAAAAGTTTTATATATAAATTACTAATGTTTATTTAATCAACTGATTATGTTGTTAATCGCTAAATCTTGAATAGTCCGCAGAACTTTTGGCTATTATTTTTTTAAGTTAAAAATATTGGCAATTATTTTATTTTATTTATTTTATTTATTTTATTTATACATTTTAGGAACATAGCACAAGATACATAATATAAAATCATACAGTTAAGAGATAACATAAATAAATCATATATATAAAATGAGATCATAAAACAGCATAAAAGAGCACACTTTTGTCATAAAAAATAAGAGGTACTATGCACCTATGGATAGCCCATTAAGCCAAATGCTTATTTCCAATGGGGTCCATAGAAATAAAAAAAAAACTAACATAATTTTAACCCTTTCCCCCCCCTAAAAAACAAACAAGATAAAAAAATAAAAATATAAACTAACTAACTTTGGTCAAAATTTAGGTTGAAAAAGGAAATATATTTATAAAAGTATGCCCTTTTTAAAATAAGCCTAGTATTACTATCACAGAAATATTTGATCACAGTGCCTAACACATTATAGTTGTACACATATATATCTTCTGAAAGACTTTTATAGCTTTCTAGTAGGTACTTTTTAACAGATTTTTTGTATTGCACAAAAATTATTAATGGATTTTATATATTCTGGCAGATCATTCCAGTCTTTAATTCCATTATAATAAAAGGTCTGTTTCATCACAGAATTACACTGGGGGACAATAAAATTAAAATTGCTTGATCTAGTATTGTAAAATCTTGCATCAGCACAACATCTAAAGTCGGCTCTAAGGTATGATGGACTCTTTTTGTAAAAAATCTTATACATATGATTTAGTCTTAACTGTTTGACTCTGTTTTCTACATTTAACCAATTTAATTTTTCAAACTCATACACTGTTACAGAAGTTCTGGGCGGTAAGTTTTGGACAAATCTTAATACCTTATTCTGAGTAATTTGTAACTTTCTTTTTAAATGTTTTGATAAACCTTCATACCAAGAGGAACAAGAGTAGTCAAAATGACACTGAATCAGGGCTGAACATAAAAGCTGTTTTGTTTTAGTATCTAAAAGTCTGCTCTGCCTATATAAAAACTTGAGCTTGGCATTCACTTTAGAAATAACGTTATTAACAATAGTTTCCCCAGATAAATCACTATTGATATAAAGACCAAGATACTTGACTAAATTAGTACCCTTTATGCTATGACCATTACATGTAACAGTAAATTGTTCTTGCTTTTGTAATTTTCTTTTGGGGCCAAATAGCATACATTCTGTTTTACCAAGGTGGAGTGACAGCTTATTGTCTACGAGCCATTCTGAACAGCTTTCTAGGGCTGTCCCAAGTTTTTCTGAGATGAAATTCGGGTCTTTATGTGAGAATAAAATAGTGCTGTCATCTGCATAGAGTATTAACTTGCAATCATTATCAATACTTAAAATCATATCATTTACGTAGCACAGAAAAAGCAACGGCCCTAGAATACTACCTTGGGGGACGCCACATGTCACACTGTTTGATTTAGAGTAAGTATTTCCTATATTAACAATTTGTGAACGTTCTGAAAGATATGATCTGAACCAGGAAATAGACTGAACACCCATTAATTCTAACTTTCCACTAAGAATATCATGGTCTACGGTGTCAAACGCCTTTTGCAAGTCAAGCATCACCATACCTGTGTATAGTCCTTTACTAGTATTAATTCTTATAACATTTTTAGCTGACGATTTTATTTCATTTCAGCCAGTGTGAGCCCTGATAAAATATAAAAATGAAATGTCACAATGTAAGTCAAAGTTATAATGTTTATTAAAGTATTTGAATTCAATACTTTGTCTTTCACTTCCGGCATAGGCCTACATGTATGATGTATCCGAAAAACACAACTATCCGAATGAAGTAAAGTTTGATTAAGTTTCACATTGCACCAACATTGTTTTTATGTGAATATTTACGCCAGAATTAGTTGCAGTACATTTAAAAACTTGAATTGTATATTTTTGATGAAATTATTTCTATCATTGTGTACAATAAGCCTTTATTTCTCACTTTACCTGTTGTTGTTGTTGTTGTTGTTGTTGTTGTAAAATTTTACCGGTGCATTAATTTACGCGAAAATCATGGAAAATATTACGGTTGAACACAGCTAAATGTTGTTACAGGGATGGTGATCGAACATATAAAAATAATAGCGCGAATTCTCGTCCGTCAACGATCTTGAGCAGCTAGATTTCAAATTAAGAAGGTAAAATCACTGCTTTAATTACAGCCGTCGTAAAAGGGTTTGCCTAAAATACGAAAGTGAGATTTTTGATGAAAGTGAGCGAAAGTGACTTTTAGAATTTCAATTGTATCGTTTTAATAGAATTTTACAGTAAAATTGCTGTTTGTCGACGTATATTATTAGCAACTTATTATATATATATTATAATGAATAACCATAATCATGATTTAATCGCCATTTATTGGCCTAATTTCTATATACAAGTTCAGCGATCTTCCTTTCGCTTACATTGAAAAATACGAAAGTGACTTGTAAAATATCAAATATTGAGTTTGAATTGAAAATGTCCTTAAACTGCAGTTTGTAAACGTATATTTTCAGAAATTAATAATTTGATATTCAACATTATATTTCAGTTAAACCTTATATTTGATATTTTAGAGGTCACTTTCGTATTTTCAATGTGAGCGAAAGGAAGATTGTTGAACTTGTATATATAGAAATTATGTAGAAAAAATGGGGTAAAAATCATCATAATGATTATTTTTGAAAATACATAATATTAATTTTGGATATTATACGCCTGAAAAATGCAATTTATGCGTAACTTTCAATTTGAACAATGCTTTATTTCATATTTTACAAGTCACTTTCGTATTCTTCAATGTGAGCGCAAGGAAGATCTCAGAACTTGTGCATAGAAATTATTCAAACAAATGGTGATTAAATCATCATACTGATTGTTATTGAAAATATATATTATATATTTCTGATGATATACGTCTGCAAACTGCAATTTTAGTATAAATTTCAATTTAAACTCTATATTTAATATTTTACATGTCACTTTCGTATTTTTTTAAAGTGAGCGAAAGGAAGATCTCAGAACTTGTGTATAGAAATTGTGCAAATAAATGGCGATTAAATCATCATAGGGATTAATTTTTAAAAGAAATATTATTAGTTGCTAATAATATACGTCTACAAACAGAAAAATCACTGTGAAATTCTAATAAAACGGTACAATTCAAATTTTAAAAGTCACTTTCGCCCACTTTCGCTCACTTTCGTCAAAAATCTCACTTTCGTATTTTAGGCATACCGGTCGTAAAATGTATCGTAAAATTTCCACACTTGTCAAATGGTCACTTTGGTTGTGATTAATCATGAATCCCCTTGCGAAAGTGAAGGCAGCTGCCTTTGCATGAACGATGCAGTGGCTAAACTGTGCTATAGTGAATTCAAAGTGGCACAATGACCTGATCTGATAAACTACCACCCACCTCCACCACAAATAACACGTATTTTAAAAATTAAACAACAGCAGTTCCTGTATTTTTTATCTCCCTTTTTAAAGTTTCAGACAATTTAGACATTGTCATTCACCAAATCTTCTATCTGACACACATTAACTGCCATAATTTATATATATATGTGGATAATTCATTCAATACACAACAGACATTTTTAAATTCAAAAAATCAATCTACAAGAAAATGAACATTACGAAAATTGAAAGAATTAATTGACTGTGGTGATTTTTTTATCTATTTAAAAGTCAGTTACAATTTTGGGGTCGAAGGGAAATAGCTGTGGCGACAGTCAATATGAGAGATCTCTCGGGAAAATTGCAAATGGTGTATGTGATTCAAAGGGAAGTAACTCATTTAGGAACAAATAAGGTCAATAAGAGATTTTTCCTGATAATAACAAACGGCGTATCAGGTTCAAAGAAGAAAATAAATATGAGCGATTCCCCCTGATAATCGTAAATGGCGTTTATGGTTCAAAGTAAAATTACTCTATGGGAACAACTTGTCAATAAGAGTGATAATATTCAGATAGCGTATTAGTTAAAAGGGAGGTAGCTCTTTGGACTTAGAAGTTTTGCCAATTTACAGCGATCTCCCTACACAATAATTAAAGCATTGATCGAAGACCTAATTGAAAAAAAATTAAAGGGAGTTCTCTCTTTATTACAAATGTCGTATGTGGTTCAAAGGGGAGTTACTTTAATAGCAACAAATTACGTCGATAAGGGTGATCTCCCCTGATTACAAAAGTCGTATGTGGTTCAAAGGAAAGTTACACTAAGGGCAACAAATTTAAACAATAAGGATGATCTCCCCTGATTACAATTGTTGTATGTGGTTTAAACGGAAGCTACTCTAGCGACAACAAATTAAGTCAATAAGAGTGATTTCCTCTAATTACAAAAACGCTTGTGGATCAAAAGGAAGTTACCCTTATGGTTACAAATTAAGTCAGTAAGGGTGATCTCCCCTGATAAGTTCAAAGGGAAGTTACTCTTAAGGTTACAAATTAAGTCAGTAAGGGTGACCTCCCCTGATAAGTTGAAAGGGAAGTAACTCTTAGGGTTACAAATTAAGTCAGTAAGGGTGATCTCCCCTGATTAGTTCAAGGGAAGTTACTCTTAGTTACAAATTAAGTCAATAAGGGTGATCTCCCCTGATTAGTTAAGGGAAGTAACTCTTAGGGTTACAAATTAAGTCAATAAGGGTGATCTCCCCTGATTAGTTCAAGGGAAGTAACTCTTAGTTACAAATTAAGTCAGCAAGGGTGATCTCCCCTGATAGTTCAAAGGGAAGTAACTCTTAGGTTACAAATTAAGTCAGTAAGAGTGATCTCCCCTGATAGTTCAAAGGGAAGTTACTCTTAGATTACAAATTAAGTCAGTAAGGGTGATCTCCCCTGATAACTTAAGGGAAGTAACTCTTAGGGTTACAAATTAAGTCAGTAAGGGTG